TCCAAGGGGTCTAAGGCACGGTGCAGCACCAACAGCAGTCTAGGCATTGAGAAGACCATCTGCATCCCCAGGCAGGTGAGGTTTGCAGTGGTGACACTTGGTGAGATGGACTCACACATGCAAGAAGCTGGTGTCAAGGGGGTTGGCAGTAGACAGGGCAGCAGAATGCGCATCAGCCAGAGAGCCCTGTTCACTGAACCGCCCTACCCCAACACAGGCCTTCTGTGTGGAGAAACTGAGGTGTAAACCATGCCAGGGCCTAGAAAGAATGATAACGTGAAGGGGCTGGGGGCTGCGCGTTGCCATTTGACAATCAGGGTACACAGGACATTGACAGAGTCATAATCAAAAGATGACGCATGTCTGCATAGAAGGAAGAAGTCCCTTCTTCCCATGGGAGTAAGGGTTTCTTCTCAAATTGGTCTTGTCAGAACGTGGTAATTATCTCAGCAAGAAACAGTATGGTAAGAATACTCACCTCTCCAACAAGCTATGAAAAGGAGAGAGAGAAGAATCTGTTATGCTTTTGAAACACAGACTAAAAATAATAATCCGAAAAACAAAATTTCTTTTTTTTAAAATCACACAATTTAATGAGTTTTGATATATATACATCCCTAAAACCATCATCACAAAATCAAGAAAACAAGGTACTGAACATAACCACTCCCCAAATTCCAAAATTTGCTGATACCCCTTTGTCCCTCAGCTCATTGTCTACCTCATCCACAGGAAACCACAGATCTGCTTTCGGTGACTACAGATTAGCTTGTGTTGTCTAGCATTTTATCTGAATGAAATCATATAGTAGATACTCCTTTTTTTGTCTGCTGTCAGGAAAATTATTTTCAGAATCATCTATGTAGAAGTATGTATCAATAGTTCACTGCTTTTTATTGCTGAATAGTTTCCTATTGTATGGATATACTACAACTGTCTTATTCATTGATCTTTCAATAAAGTTTAAGATTTTATTTGATTCTAATTGCAAATGAGGCTAATTCTTAAGTTACAGGAAGTCAAGGTTAAAGGATTGCAGAAGATGTCCATAGAATTTTATAAATTTGTTAACCTTCCTGACCTTTTCCCCTTGTGAGTCACAGCCAGCAGACTTCAGCAGAATTTAGGTTGAAACTGAAACACACATCACTTGTCTTAGAAGCAAAATAGATGAGCCTGTGATTAAATGGCAAGATAGCTGAAATTCAATTTGTTTTGTCTCTCTTCTTTAGCCTTCTGAGAGTCATTCAGCAACAAAAGGCTAAAATATGGGGTCTTATTTTCTTCCCTGATGAATACATTGGGGACCTCTATTTTCCTAGAACTGTGGGGGGATTTCCAAACGAACTTTGTCTTTGACATAATAAAAAATATAGTTCCTCTGAGTGATCTCCAACTCCAGAGAGAGGAAGGAAAAAACCCAAGGGTTTCTCCTGGGCAAAATAGCATCTGGTTTGTCTAACTGATTTACTCTGTAAACCTGAGAGGAATCAGGGCAAGTGTTGGTAAATCTTTAAGAAACCACAGGCCTGACAATTTCCACGTTTATTTCACTCAATTCCTAGGAAGCAAATGAGTCACTCCAATATAATGAAAGACGTTATTAACATTGGCAACAAACCGCCCTTCCATCCTGCTGTCTCACAGCACCAACCCTGTGAATATCTTTTGTTGGGCTTAATCTCGTGGCCACCGAGAGGCTGACAGCCAGCACAGGGCAACATATCCCACAGCCTCCTCTGCATCTCAAGCTTGACACAGACCCCTTTCTTCTGACTGAGACCTTTCACTGTGAACTTCAAACCCACCTTCGGGGCTACAAGCACAGGCTCTAGAAGTAGACGTACCTGTTGGGTTTGAGTGTGGCAAATCTGGGTGACTTTGAGAGCAATTACTTGACCTCTTCTAGTGTGTTTCTTTTTTGTTTGTTTTCTTTTATATCAACAAGAATGAGCTTGACATTATTTTAAATTTATTTTTCAAAAAAAATCCTCTTTACTTATGTCCCTCCCTCCAAAACGCTAATCATCTGGGGCCTCCTGTTTTATTCTCAACCACGCCCCTTCTCTCTCTGTCCCCACCGCCAGCCTCCTAGATCTCTTATTTTATTCTTAGGGAAGGGTCCCAGACACCAGTTCAGGACTGGCCCTCATCCTTGTGTGGCAAAGAGCTGCTGCTGGACTGAAGCGCCAATGACGTTAGACCAGAAACCTTGGTGGTGTCATCTATGAAGTGAGGCCGTTTGGATTTGCTCTAAAGTCCTGTCACTCACATCCTGGTCTCCAGTCTGCAGCCTGGAGCTCTATGCTATCCAGCCAGCACCCTGTGTGGTTATAGAACCCGCCCACTTTTTCTTGACTCCCCAGTTTACTGGCTAACTCTTTTCATTCAACGTTGGAAAACTTCTTCAAATCCCAAACCCTCAGAGGGCTGGTCCTCACCTCCCTGGCCCCTTCCACCTACCCTTGGTCTTCCTTGGGAAGATGTCATTTGATTCTGCTGAGAAGACTGGCAACACCTGGAGGGAGTGTGATCACCAGACTCACTTCCCCTACTTACCCTGTGGCCCCAGTCCCTAGCTCTCACCTCCCCCACGTGCTGAAGGGCCCTTCTACCTCTCAAGCAACATCTCCCACACTACCCTCTCCCTCTGACTCTTTCTCCATTGGCCTCCTTACTCTTGCCTGCTTTCAAGCTGCCCCCATTTGGCAGGATTTCCCATCTCTGGAATGCCACGTTTCTGTACCTTGGCCCCACTCTTTTTGCCAAGATGTCTTCCTGGGTTTATCTCTTGAGTTTTTGTTTCTGACTCTCTAGTTTCACATCCTTAGGAACCTCCTCCACCCATGTGGTGTTAACTACCAGCACTGAGTGACTTCAACCTCTGAGTCTCTTTCCCTGACCGTGCACCTTTACCAGAGCCCGGTTTCATCAGCCACCTGTAGATCACTTCATGTAGGGTCTACACAACATTTCTCCACCTCTTAAATGTTTAAACTCACCATCTTTTCCAACCAACTGCTTTCCCTTCCTAATCCCTCCTCTGCCTCCTCATCCACAGTGATGCTGAGCCTCTTCCCCTCTAGCCTTACAGTTATTTTAAACACATTATTTCTTGTTCTTTCCTTGTCACATACTTGCAATGACTACATTTTTATCTTGTCTCTTTCAGAAAGTCTCTGTCCTCTTTTACATTCTTTTGATTGTGATTGTTTAAAAACCACAATGGAAACATGAAAAGTAAAGACAAATTACCTAAAATTCTACCACCCAAACACAGTAAATTTTTATGTTTTTCTAGTTTTACTTCTAGTACTTGTTTCTGTGTGTGTGTGTGTGTGTGTGTGTGTGTACATAAATAACCTATATATAAAAATAATGAGGATTCAATTTTATGCTTTTTAATGCCAATTTTTTCATATTCTGATTGAGTTTTCATAAACCCCATATCTACTTAATATTGTATCAGAAGATGATGCACCATAACCTGATTATTCTACAAGTGTAAAAAGTATAACTGTACAATCATTTTGCTCTAATGAAAAATATTTCAACAACCATATTTACCCATAATTTTTTCCTTCTTTTGCTGTATTTCCTTAGGGCAAATTTTCAGAAATGAGATCACGGGGCCTTTCTATTTCATTTCCCCCTTCGTTATAACCAAAGACAGCCTCTCTATTTGTTGACTCCTGCTTTATTCCTTTGCTAAAACCATTTTCCTGCCACTCCTCATCACATCCCTATAACCAGATTCAATTACCTCCATCCAAGTGCCCTTCATTAACTAACTAACCAACTAGCCCTAAACCCTATGATCATTCCTTTAACACCATGCCCTCTCAGTCCTTTTGCACATAATTGTTACAGTAATGTGAGCTAATCTGCACACCTTTTGAGTTGGTTTCTAATTGTTTCCCACATGCATTCCACCTTATGAGCTAAGGCACTTTTACTTTACCTTTTTCCCTCCAAGCTTTGATGACTGATGTTCCTACAGTAGGCACTCTGGGCAAGCCTGTTACAGAGGCTTCTCCACCAGTGAACTCAGCCTACTGATTTCACAAACCCTCATTCGTTCAATCCCAAGTGCCCTCACCAACCACTGATGCTCTTGTTCCATGACAGATACTCACGACTGTGTTTCCGCATGAACTGGATCAGATCACATTGCTGTAAATTTTAAAAAGAGAGAGAAAAGAAACATGAGCATAGTGACCTCTGAGTAACTATACTTATTTCCCAGTGAACTGGTTGAGTTTTCTCTCATGAGTAAGGAGATACATACAGAATACACAGGCTGCCCCGGCATGCCTTTAATGCCCTAGGAAAACAAACACAAAGCAAGTAATTGGTTTGTGAACTGGTGTCTTTAGTGATAAAACAAGAGAAAACAAAAAATCTTCTTTCTTAAAAGCACAGCTGGAAAGGAGCAGTCAAAGTATTCCTGAACACAGTGGACTGGATTAATTATAATGCACTTTCCCAGGCATATCAAGGGTATAAACTTTTTGTTTCAGTGTTAGATCAGGTAAGCTAATGTCTATCCAAAGTGAACTGAGTTATTTTTCTACAGTGATAAGAAGAAACAAAAATATTTCTTCAATATATTTGTACTAAAGATGCAATACTTAGCAAAAGGCATTTTCATAAGAATGCTTAAAATTGCAAACAACAGACTTTCCAAAGGGCAGCTCTAAGGAGAGGGATTTATTGAGAATTCAAAGGAACAGTTATATTACAAATCAAGAAGTTTAAGAAGCAGGAGGTAAGATACAACCTCTACATATGTGAAAGACGCAAAGACAATTGCATAGCAGAATGGATATTGCACAAAAGAAGAGCACACACACCAAGTTCATAAATGTTGAAATGTTATGGAGTAAAGGAATACAAATAATTGGGTGAAGTGAATCAGGGAAGGCTTCCTAAAAAGAAGTCAGTCCTTTCTCAGCAGCCTGAGCTTTTCTTTTTTTTCTTTTTTTTTTTTTTTTTAGGCAGACAATCTTGAAAGTTTTATTACACTAACTTCAGGTCAAATTTTCACAACTGTGTTCTGGTCAATTTACTATCCTTGCTTGGCTTCCTAAAATGGTAGTACCAAAAGATTTGTGGGGTAAGGAGAAGAGACCACTTTAAGAAGCACTGCATTTACTCATCTTCCACAAGGCAACGGAGTTGAGCATTTCACTGTTCAAGAAAACAAAGCTTTAAAAGCATCCAGGAGGGCAGACAGGCAAACCAGGCTATGGACATTCTTCCATTTGTCAAAATCAGATCTGAGAAAATCTAATCCACACAGATACAAAAGGCATGGATGTTCATCTTTTCTTTTTCTGTTGCCGTAACATTTTTCTTCTTTTAATTATCATACCATGTAGTTTCTCAAGTCCTTCCTTTAGTCCATCTCCTATGATTGCACAGGTAGGCTGCAAATGCCAAGGAGTTGATGAACTCAGTTCACCCATTGCTAACAATTTCTCGATTTCTGAGAGAGACAATGAGTTCCTCAAGTCTTGTTTGTTAGCAACTATAAGTACAGGGACTCCTTGATTTTCTGATATCCTAGTTATTTTACGAAGTTCAGTTTTGGCTTCTTCCATCCTTTCAACATCAACAGAGTCCACAACAAACACAATGCCATCTGTGCATCTGGTATATGACTTCCACAGTGGCCTTAATTTCTCCTGACCACCTACATCCCAGAAATGAAAAGTGACTGTTTTAGAATTTCCCAAGGTTACCTTAATTTTCTCAGTGTTAAATCCTTTGGTAGGTACAGTATTTACAAATTCACTGAACTGCAGCCTGTATAAGACAGTTGTCTTTCCAGCACAGTCCAAACCCAGAATAACAATGTGGAAAGACTGAAATGAAGGTAGGCTGGACAGGACAGAAGTCTGTTCTGATAGTCCATTCCCCATTTCCAGCTGCAAATAAGTGTCCCAAATTGAAATGCTTTCTTCCTACTGCTTTAGAACTTCTATTCCTGGGTGATCCAGCTATAAGACTGACAAACTGTCCTTCCCTCGTCCGTACTCAACGTCTCCCTCAGCCGCTTGGGAGGCGCGCTGATACCTGTCCGTGGGCACCGGAGAGGCCTGGGCAGTGAAAGGGGGCGAGACGCGCACTCAGGGGCGCCGGGCGGGCGCCATGAGCCAGGCTGCCCTAACGGTGCTCCCCGGCAGCTCCCCACGCCTGCCGCGGCCCCGCCCCTTCCCGCGCGTCGCCCCTGAACTTTTCTCTTTTCCCATTCTAACTTCCTTTTGTCATGATCAGGCTTCTTCTTGGCAGTGATTCTTAATATATTTACACACATAGATTTGGGGGGGGCACTAATAAATGCTAGTATGTACACTTCAGAAAAGGGCTATTACATGCTTACACTTGTACCATTTCATTGACCCCCAGAAGCTCAACCAGGGATGTCAACATAAAAACCTCTGCTCTAAATGACAGCTGAGTCACTTCTTCATCCATCCATCCGTCCGTCTACCCAACCATCCAATAAACAGCTAAATGTCTGCCGAATGCTTAGGTGGCTGATTGTGTACTACTGATGTGAACCAGAAATGTTGCAGCATCCCAGATTGTACCCATTGGGGTATATTATTTTTCTGACCCAAAACAGGAAATTATGCATCTTACTGCAAAAGATGCAGTCTTATTCTTTCTTTTACAAGTTATGGCAGAAAACAGGAAAGAATGCACAGCCATTTAAACGGAGATGTCAGTTTCTGGCTGGTAAAGTAGGCAGCCCACATCTCACAGAGAGTCAGAACCATGCCCTGAAAGAGTGAGCTGCAGAATAACTTTGAGCAAATTCTGAAGCAGATGCTGAGGATCAAGAGCCTGGGACAAAGAAGCCACATTCCAGTCCAGACCAGCCGGGCCAACCACAAGACCAGGAAGATGTGAGGTCCCCAAATGAGATCCCCAGAATCCAGAAAGGAGATAAACCCAGAGCAGACCAGATTAGCCCAGAGACTAGATCCTCAGCCACATGACTAAGAATATTCACTAATTCCTTAATGTGAAAGAAAGAAAAGATTGTATCAGAGTATCTTTTACAATTCATTAATTCTCACTCTACTACAGATTCAGTTGTCCCCAAAACCATCTGCAATTTTTGTCTTCTTTATAAAGTCCCAACTTCAAGAACCCATCCAAGGAGTCAGAAAACACTCACAATGCACAAAACAAGGTAAGCAGTTTACCCACTCCTTACGCAGTGCTGCCTGGGCCTCCTCCACAAAACATAGGTACTGGTAATATTTAGTTCTTACCTGGCTGTGCTCGTTAGGGGAGACAGACATGAAACTAAATCATTACAACATGAGAGGCACTAAAACAGAGAGAGGGATACTTGTCAGTGGGAGATGTGCCTGATTCTGCCTGGGAATTCTTCCAGAGCTGCCATTTCTTTTGTAAGGGAATCAGAGTGGAAAGTTGTAGTTATATTTCCAAATGTCTCTACAGTCTAAATTTTAAGGATAAGAAGGGAACAATAGTGGTTTTGGGAAACTCTATCAACCTGTCTCACATGATGAAACTTTGCCAGGGACACCTGTGTGAAGCTTATGCAATCTCATTCCTATTTTAAAAGCTTCAGTAACAAACCATAGTAATAGCTAATATTTGCATTGCACTTTACAGTTTATCCAGAGTGTTCGCATCTGATGATCTGATCCTCACAGCTACCTTTTGAGGTAGTTAGTATAGGATTTGTCATCCCCTTTTTACAAATAAATTGAAAGACCCAGGGACTGGCCCAAGGACACACAGCTAGTAAGAAGCAGAACCTGGACTTGAACCCAGTGCTTCTGACTTTAAATTCTGTGCCCTTTCCATTGAACATACCAGAAACCAGTATACCCTACTTAGTTCTCATGTCTCAGGACACACTTACTCTCCGTCCAGGAGGGCCTTGGTGTCCTTGAGATCCCTTTTCACCTTTTGAGCCTACAGTGAGCTGCAGGTAGAAACATAAGTTAGTTTCAACTTTGTCTATCCATGGGGAATACTTCAGTTTTAATGACAGTTTATAATTTTTTTTAAAAAATTATTTTTAAAAGACAGCTGCTATTAATTCAAATCAGGTAAATTGCTTACTTTTAACATAAACCACCCATTTTTATTGGTAACGTCCATTTCGCTCTTAGGATCTTCATTTAGTGACATACTTTGCTCTGGTACTGGCTGTGCATTTAAATCTAAATTAGTAATAAACTAGGGTTGATGCAAACAGGAAAAGCAAATATATTAGGACACACAGAGACCTAATAAAAAACCTCCCATGTGTAAAAGATCAAATAAGAAAAATGATTCCCCATACACGAGAGGACATGAGTGGGCTATGTCTTTTCCATACCTCCAGATGATGGATATGGAGACTAATGAAATTTATCCAGCCAGATGGAAGGTACCCATTGAAATGCATCTTTTTCACACCTAAGGGTGACCACTGACATTGCATTCAAACTTTAAAATGAAAGGATGCTTATCTCAGCACTGTGTTTTTAAGCAAGCACTTACTCTGCACTTAGCCAATGAGAAGATCTCAATAGCCTTCCTTAAAATGAATATCCTATATGACCTTGTAATGGACAGCGGAATCATCAGAAAACCGTCAGGGGCACAGTGGAAAGAGTCAGCTTTATTTCCACTCACCGGGTTAATATTCTGGGATTTATTATGCGCCTTAGGAAAGACTGGAAGGCACTGACATTTCTTGGAACAGCCAGTTATCAATTTGTAAATCTTTAAAACAGTTCTGATTCATGGAACCACACAATTTTAGAGCTGAAAGTGACCTTAAGTGTCACTAAGTTCAACTCTTATGTTACAGAAATAGAGACCCTGAAAAGGTGTGTTGAAGGTCACAGCTAGCAAGTGGCACTTCAGATGCCCTTGAGTTGGATCAATAATCCACATTTATTGTAACAACATGAAAGCCAGAGTCTTCCAAAAAAAATATTTATTATTTCTAGAATTATAGGCCACTTACTGTTAGTCCCCTAAATCCTTTGGGTCCAGGTCCCCCAGGAATTCCAGGATCACCAACATCACCCTGAAGATTTAGATATAAGAAATGAAGATGTTAAAATATTTTCCATTAAAGAATAAAATATATTCTCTCCAAACTAAAACTGAATTGATCTTATAACAATTATACTATATAAATTAACAAAGGCCAATACAACATTAAATATCATTTTTCCTGTCATTTGGAACTAAGTCATTGGTACACTTAGATATTCTCCAAACTATTTTTAATTTTATAATAATACAAATATTGGCATATAAATATCAATTCAATGGCTATCCAGTTACTAAAAATATCCAAGTAAAATACTTGAAAACCAAGGAAAACATTTGGAGTATTGACTATATAAAATAATCATTATGAATAACTTTCTATATTCATGAAACATTTCTGAAAAAGTTGAAGGTAAAACAAATTTTACTCTGACTTTGGTGGGAAACTAATTTTGAAAGTTATCAATATGCTTATTTCACATTTATCAGTAAATTGAAATATGCTAATTTTCTCTCTTTAACATTAAATTAGAAAATTAATGTTTTACAGTGAGGAATTTTGCCCTAACAGTTATTTATAAAGTCCCTTCTTGCACTGTTTTCTATAATACTTAGGAAAGAATCTCTTTTGGTAATTCATCAATTAAAAACAATTTTAAGAGGATTCAAAAATTGTTTTCCAACAGTTGGTTTGATTTTATTGATTAGACATTCTATTTTTAACCAATATTTTGTATTTTAATTTGAGCATCAAATACGTGGAAGACACCTTTCTGGACACTTTTTGAAAAAAGGAGAGCTTATTTCAGTGTATAAAAGAGATGTAATGTAAGCTCCTCTAGTTGAAATAGAAGGTATATCTGGTTCTACAGCATGAAGATGGATTTCAACCTGGTAAACAATGAGGAATTCTGGAAGATATTTGATCAGGGAAGTAGCATAATTAGGCTATACATTTTTAAAAAAAGAAAATCAAGTGACAGTAGTGTTTGAGATTAACTGAAGCGGGAGAAGAATATTGTAATCTTTCAGGTGACAGGAAGTAAAGGTCACAATAATGAAAGAAAAACAGCAATAACTGAAGTCAAGAATATCAAATGAGACCACCAAGGCAAGAGAAATCAGAAATCAGAAGACAATGGACTGAACTTGAGAAGATATCCGAAGGTAGGTTTTTAAGGCATGGGACATCAGGCAATGAAGGACAGAACAATCTTTTACAACATAGAATTCACAGGGGTTAAATATGGTCTTTTCCTGATGAAGCTCAAAGAAAACAGCTGTCCTCCCCCTTTCCCCATTTCATTCAGACCTACAGGCTTATCTCAGTTCTCAAGTAGAAGGTTAAGATCATGGTAATTTCAAAAGGTCATGTGCACAATACCTTCTGCCCCATATCTCCTGGGAATCCTCTTGGGCCCTATAATTTTCAGGAAAGAAAATTAAAACATACACAAATCAACATACCACTTCTATAGCATGATAATATCTTCTTGTATTATTTAGGCTTGATTTACCAATTAAAAAATAATTGCTTTCCATATTTACCTTTACTCCTTTCTGCCCCATATGACCATAGCCTGGATTGCCAGAGTCTCCCTGTAAACACATCAGTTCATTTCAATTTCTCAAAAGTGAAAATTAATAGCAATTTATGCTGGGGAGATGATGGTGTCATAAGAGAAACACCAAGGACTTCCACGTCGACCAGGCCTAATTAAGGACCTTGAGCCCTGGGGACACGCATGTTGCTGGGTTCTCCTCACTTCCTCCTCTGCCCCTGTCCTTCTGTGGCCAGTTCCACCCTGCAACTGGTGCAGGAAGCAGAGGGATGGTCATTTGGAACTTGTGGAGTCAGTGGCAGTTTCTTGCCTGGAAAATTAGGAGCTGGTCCAAAGAACACAGCCAAGGAATGCCCCAAAGAAGAATTATAAATGGCTAATAGATATACAAAAAAATTCTCATCCTCAATACTAACCAAAAAAATGCAATTTGAAACAGAAATGAGATACCGTCTTCAGCAATGGTAAAGATGAAAAAAAAAGTGACAATATCTGTTGTTATGGATGCTCTAAAACAAATACTCTCTTATATGACACGTGGACCCATATAATGTTTGGATTTTCCTAAGGGCACTTCACAATAGGGTTCAAAGCCTTTGTTAAACATGTACATATTCTTTGATCC